CTCCGAATCTGCAGGATCTGTTAGTTCAGTCTCTAACGTTCTGCTCTCTCTCTGCTTTTTCTCATAGTAGCTTCATCTGGTCTGTTCCTGTGCTGCTGCCATTAACAACTTTGTTTATAGATGTTAGAGATCGACCTCTTTTTCAGTGTAGTCCTATTTCTCTGACTGTGACTGGCTGGATGTGCTCTCTTCATCCTCTGACATCATCCTTGAACCCCAGTCAGCCTCAGCAGATGGCCGCTCACACTGAGCCTGGTTCTGCTGGAGATGTCTTCCTGTTAAAAGGGAGTTTTTTCTCTCCACTGTCGCTACAAGCATGCTTAGTGTGAGGGATTGCTGAAGAGTCAATGCAATAAACTGGTTTTCCTTAGATAGAAAACTTTGAATCAATCTGACTGGATGATCTGGTGAACTGAAGAGTGCCTTGAGTTGACTTGTGTTGTGAATTGGCGCTATAGAAATAAGCTGAATTGAATTGAAACTGAAATCAAGAGAGATTTAACCTGACATTAATAAGCATAAGAAAATGCAAACAAAAACATATACTTAGATCGACTATAGTCTCTCCATGCTGGAACAATGGCAGTTTTTAAAAAATGATAAACATTTAAGTGAAGGTGTGAATCAAGTTTAAATCATAGTCAAACTGATAATTCTGCACAAATATGGAATAACTTCACCACAAATTATGTTCAAAATATAAGAGTTTATTAACCAAAATCATTCAACTCCAAGTCAAACATATTTTTGTTAAAAACTCTTGACTGAAAACTAGTGAAACTCAACTAACCTAAGCTACTCTATACAAAGGAAAAACATGGTTCAAAATGAGGTTGTGCAATGATATCCCTGTTTAGCATGGATGCTAGGTTTGAGAACCAAAGTTTATCTTGAAGGATTTGGCCAAGTTATGTTTTGTTAAATGATTTTCTAGATTCTTTACCTTCTGAGCTAGACATTAGCAGACATGAGGATTCCGATTAAGTGACTTTTGGTCAAAATATGAGCATATGAGAAAACACATGACAGTTAATGTTACATTTGTGTTTAAACCCTTGCTGTAATAAAGCTTGTTTTAGCTTTATAATCAACACCCAATGTGTTACCATGTGATCTCTTTTTGTCATTTTGTACACACACGGTGTATACAAAACAAAACTTTGTTTTGTGCAGCTCTTATGACATTTCCATTTCTTAAAGTGCAGCGCTGATAAAATGTAAACATGGTGATCAAATGTAAACATAGACTGAGATATGATTTACAGTTTTCCCAACATTCAATGCTTTTTTCCCATTTTATTTAACATTTAGCAGTCTGATTGCAGTGGGGAAGAAGTTTTTTTTCGAAACCTGTTGGACCTGCATTGAGTGCTTCACAGCATTCAATGCAGGCACCATGCTGTGGGAGGGGGTGAGGGGTCATTGATGATGTCACGGGCTCGGGACACGCATCACTGGGATGAAATGTCTTTAATGGAGGGAAGAGGAGCCCCCATGGTCCTCTCTGCTGTTCTCACCTTCTTCCAGTCTGAGGCGCTGCAGCCTCCACACCACATAGTGAGACAGCTGCTCAGAACGCTCTCTATGGTGCTTCTGGAGAAGGTGGGGAGCATGGGTGGAGGCAGGGGGGCTCTCCTCGTCCTCCCCAGGAACCTTCTGGGCCCTTTTGACCAGTGAGGTGGTGTTTCCAGTCCAGGTGAGGGTGTCTGTGATGTGCACCCACAGGAATGTGGTGCTGCTGACCACCTCTACAGCTGAGCTGTTGATGAGCAGTGGAGCATGGTTAGGCCAGTTCTTCCTGAAGTCAACACTTTGTCTTTACTCAACAGTAAACACAAGAATTTACCAATAAATCATTAAGGAAACAAAAGATTTTAGCTGGAAACTCTCCCTGACTCTGTGCATGTCTGTTTTGGAAAGCAGGCAGACACAAATCAGGGAAGGAGTTCTTCTCCACTCTCTTCCCAACTGAAAGGAGGATTGTTGCAAACGGTCTGATTAGCAGCTAGCCATTCAGACTTTAGCCTCTGGTCAGTCTGGAGTTTCTGATCCCTGGTGGCTCCTCTTCCAATGTGAACCTCTCAGATCCTGTGTGTTTTTTCTGTCCTCAAGCACAGCGGGGAGCAAAGGCACCTCTCTAGGAGTTTCTTGTGAAACTGTCCTGGGCTAGAGGAGGGTTGCAGAAGCTTGAGTGAGAGTTGTAGAGCAGCTCATCTGGAGCGAAACTGCTTCCTCCCAACCCAATGACCTGGTTCAATATTGGTCCCTAATGTCCAAAATAACTACCGTGGTTTATGGCCCAACAAGACATAACTTCATTGTTCAATAGTGTGAAGACCTTTAAATCAGTTCTGCTCTGAATCCCTGATTAATTTTCATAGTTGTGCATTTTAGGTAATAACTGCAAATCTAATCATCTTTGGTCAGATGAGCAACACTGTGCTAAAAGGGTCTGAGATTAGAAAGCAAAATAACGCCCTCTAGTGGTGAAGGAGTATGCTTGCAAAAAATCTCAAATTAACCAAACCGAAGAGGGAAAAAAACAAAGTTTTTTATATTATAGCAAAGCTAAAGTAAGAAATACAATGCAGAAAACAATTTTATTTTTAAATGCAGCTGGTTTGCAATAACACTTATTACGTTTTTTTTGTTGTTGCAAATTTGAGTTTAACACTGACACCCATAGAAGCCCTTATTTCAGTTTTAAAATCACAAGAATAATAGTAATAAAACAAAACATAAGTTTAAGGTTGATTTCATTCTTTATCACTTGAAAAAGCAGAAATGTTAGAAAACTATTTTAGTAAACTAGCGTCAGCTCTGGTTTGCAACTTCAGTGCTCATTCATCTATTTAACATAAACCACTGCCGTTTATTTCTAAACAAACCAAACCTTGTTAAATATTTTCTTCAATTAGAGAGAAGCAAACATTGTGTTCAGCAGTTATCATGAAATCAAAGACAAAATAAAAATATGTAAAAAATTCTATCACATTTATAAAAACCTTTAAAAGGTCTAACATGGAGATTAAATTCAAGACTTATGACGATTTAGGAGGAAACCAAACGGCTTCTGTCAGAGCAGACTTTTAAATCCAACTTTAGTTTCCACAATTTAAATGACTTTACAGAACTGACTGGTAGTAATTAATTCATCTATAGCCCTTAAAATGTCGACATATTTAGCACTGATCCATAGTAGAAAAAGTTTATTCTAGTATCTCATTACCCAATACCAGTGAATAAAAAAAAATGTTAATGGTTACAGTGGGAAGAAAACATTTTAGAGAAACTTCACCATACTTAACAGATTTTATTTAAAACAAACCTTTTGCTTCAGGGGGAATATAAATGTTTCACAATAAAGTTTTCTTGAAATATAAAATAAGAAAGAAAAATTAAGCTCCTTTCTATGTTTAAACCAATTATTCCAACAATGTTTGTCAATGAATGTGCTAAAGTCAAAGAACCTGCTTCAAGGGTCTGAGCAGATAAACAGTAAAATTATTTCCAAAATAATAAAAAGTTTTCACAGGGCTGACATCTCCTGGATCACAGACCAGGAACTTTATAAATCTGAGACAGTCGTGACTTTAAAAGAAAAAGATGCTGCCAAAGATGGATGGAGTTCTGTAGACATCAGGACTACACCACAATGAAAAGGTTCTTTCAACAGGCGGCTCTCTCAGAGTTTGATGGCGATCTGCTTCCTCCATCAGCGCCGCCATCGAACACTAAACTACCCCCCCCGACTTGAGCTAAGCAGCCCCCTCAGTCCGTCACTCCATGCTCTCTGGGTCTGCCTGAGCCATGTAGGCATCCAGCTCTGCGTCCAGGTGACCTTTGGTCTTTGACATGTAAGCATCCAGCTGGTTGTCCAGCTGTTCACGAGTTACTGCCGGCCGACCGCTTCCTCTGCCCCGTCCACGACCGCGGCCTCCTCTACCGGCAAACCCCCCTCGACCACGAAGTCCACCACGACCTGCATGAAGACAGCAACAGAAATGTCGTTTACAGGATATCTCTTAACAAAAGGAAACAAAGGAGGTGAAAATAAAACGCTTGCCTCTAGCTACTCCTCCTCGACCTCCTCCTCTCATCATCATCATTCCTCCTCGTCCAGCAGGTCCTCCACGGTAGCGGCCTCCTCTACGCATTGGCAGGCGGTTTGCCATCCCGCGGCCTCGCATCGGTCCGCCTGCAAGCATTCGCTTCCCTGAATTTTGAAGAGTATAACATCTTAGTAAAGAAAAAGATGAGCTGGTTAAACCAGCAGAGAATGTTTTGACACGCACCCCTCAGGGACAAACCCCCTCGAAGGATTCCTCCTCTGACTCCTCTGAATCCTCCTCTGGTCATTCCCCGCATGCCGCCTCGGCTCCCGGCAGGTCCTCCACGCATTAGTGCCCCGACAGGCCGGCCCAGTCTGGCTTGGATGCTGCCTTTACCCAGGCGCTGCTTTAGGCTCTGACACGATTAAAGCAAATGCAGTTTAACAATTAATACACTAAAATAAGGAACACAGGGGAAAAAATGTCAACCTGGAAGAACTGATCATTATACATAATAAATTACATAAAATTATACACATTTCACATAAATGTTAAAGTGGCAAGATAAGTCAAGAACGTATTTGTATTAGGGCCGAAACGATTTTTCCAAAAATCTAAATCGCCATTATTTTCAACCAATATTGCGATTTTCAAAATAGACCTGTTCTCCATCTCAGTGGGAGCTACACAGGTGTCGGGTGTGTGATCATCCCCATGCATGAAGCATGAAGCTGGTGCTGAACTGGAAAGCTGCTTCAGTGACAGACTGCTGCACCATAAATGCACCAGGGAGCGTTATCACAGATCCTTCCTTTCAGCAGCTGGAAGACTCTAGAACCACCACTATTCCCAACAACCTCAATCAGCTGATCCATTCATGCTGATGTTTTGCAGTTTCTGTATTAGTCGCTTGAATCACAGCTGTCATTTTGCACATCTCTGGTGTTGCTGCTATTTTCCTAAACCCACAACTGTAAAAATGTCCAAAGCTGGATTGATTGTTTATTCTTCAGATGACTGCACACTATTTATATTTGTAAACACTGTACAGTACAATATTTTATCTGTTTATTTTTTAACTCTGCCACTTGTTTTTTTTATTCACTTTAAGATCCACATTTGTGTGAGCACCTTTGCTGTAACACCACAATGGGGACAAAAACAGGATTTTCTTTTCTATTCTATTCTCCCCATAGACTCTCAATAAGCGCCTAATGTCGCGACCTCGTCCGACAATGTTCTCTCTGATCGGATCTGAAATCGGATTCGGTGCGTTCTGGGATTTAGGCTACAGATTTTTGTTCTTTGGACTTTTTTTTACCCTTTATGATTCTCTGCTTTCCTTCTCCAATCCTTTATTTTCAGACAGAAATCCAGTTTTAAAATTTGGACAGATTTTAGTTTTATTGACATGGGAGCTTCCTTTAATGCCGTCATCTTGGTCCACATCCCATCAGAAGTCTAACCAGCAGAATTAAGTGATAGCCAGAATTTTTCTCCATCTTCATTTAGTATCACTAACTTAAAAACTTGGGCTAAACGTCATTGCAATGAACATTAATTTCTGCATTTATTTGTGTTTAAAAACATTAATTCAGGTTTAAGTTTTATTTAGTACAGGGGTTATATTATATATTTCCCGGGCCGTGCATGCCACGCCACATTACGTACCATACTCAGTCTAAGTGAATGAAAGTTCAAACTATTTGCATTTATATTTTTAATCAATTTACTCACTATGATGTTTATACATAGTGATCTTAAGGTTCTTGTGAATAAAATGTAATATTACAATAAAAGAACACAGACAATCTACACCACTGAAATACTGAAGTGATTTAAAACAAGTTTTGGTGTCAAAATGCTCAAATGGATTTTTTTTCAGCTATTTGCCACTGAAGCAAATTTGGTTCAAATTTCAAAAAGCTTCCCAAACAGGAAGAAAGCTAAAAACACACAAATGACAGATATATTTGAACAATTATTTAACTGAATTCACAAACTTTGTTTTAGCAGGGAACAAAACTAATCAGTTTTAAAGCCCCAACATAACCAGTGCTAAGTCTTTTTTGCAGCTATTTTTCTTTGTATGGTTTTCTTAGTATGTTTGATTTGGTGATAAGTGGAGGCGCTGCAGAGACAAGGGTGGAACTAAACTGAGAAATACCGGCTGTTTCTCTGTAACTCCATTTTGACGCTTTGTGCTTCGCATGTGCGACTCCACTGCCTTAATTCCCATCGTTCTGAGCTTGAATGACTTCTTGCACTAAATCCACTGAGCCTCATGTATGTTCCCTGGTTTTAGCCATGGAGAAAACTCTTGGCTGGAGACAATTTTGGTTACATTTACACTTGCTCATATTTTCCAGACAAAAAGTTAATGGTGCATCTCTCAAATGTCCCGGCCGCAACAACGCTTTTATTGGTTCCGCTATCGGAACGGAACCAATAATGGCGAGCTGTTGTTTTTTTTTAATTTTAACGTTTTATTTAGATTACAAAAATAAATCGTAAAAAAAATAATCCTATTTATGATGTTTTAAAAATTAAGACCTATGAAAGACTAATTTAAGACATTTTAATACCAATTAAGGCCTTAGTTTTGTTTTGAAGAATTCAATGCCTTTTAAGACTTTTTAAGGACCCGCAGGAACCCTGCATGTAGTGAGGACCATGTGTTACTCCCATTGATTGTCAGTCATTTTCAACCCTTTCTATGCCCTAACCCTAAAACTAACGTCTAACCCTAACCATTACCAATGCATACCTCACCCTCACCCTAACCATTCACACCTTAGCCCTAAACCTAACCATTAGCAAAATAGCATGTGAGGACCAGCAAAATGTCCTCACTTTGCAAAAACTGGTGAATCTGAAGCCGGGTACCCAGAGAGAACTCATGCATGCACAGGGAGAACATGCAAACTCCATGCAGAAAGACCCCAAGCCAGGAATCGTACCCAGAACTTTCTTGCCGCAATTCTTGGAGCAGCGCTTTTGCAGAGCAGGAATACTTCAATTGTTCAATTCAGATTCTTTATATAGCGGCAATTCAAAACACATCATCTCAAAGGCACTTTATAGAGATAATGCAACCAGATCATCCAGTCAAACTGATTCAAAGTTTTCTAAGGAAAACCAGCTGATGGCGTCGACTCATTGACTCGATTCCTCACACCAAGCATGCTTATAGCGACGAGCATAAATGCATTTATTTTCTCAAGCAATACATTATTAACCTTTCATTTATTATAGTTTAGTACGCTTACTTACTTTAGTGAGGGAAAAATGTTATTTAGGTATTTTATTATAAAGTAAAATCGAGGGCGACCTGTTTGAATATCTGCTAGCACAAACAAGCAGATGGTATGGATGGTGCTACCGCTACGGATTGGCTGGTGACAAAGGGGATCAGATGGAAATTAAAAAAGCACCTATAAAATCAGCCTGAGCTAGAACATTACTTTCCTTCCTGTTAAAACTTAATAGCGAATCATGAAGAGATTCTTGGAAGGTCACCCACATTCATACAATCAATAATTATGACAAGCTGAACATTACATAGCCACAAGTGGAAATACAACTTTAATGATGAGAGACGAGCAGAAACATGCTAGATTTTAGGGATTTCCTGATCCAATATTAGCCAAACTATTATCATCTCCTTCTGTTACAGCGTCTATAACTCACTGGTTAATTTAATCTTTTCTTTGTTGACTTTTGTTCCCATTTTTAGTAATATTACTTGATCAAGCATTTCTTACATTCTACAATACAAAGTAAGTAATAAAAGCTGGTATGATTTCTGCCAATTGGTATCATATCTGAAATTAAAAGGTTTTAACGGGACACGCCTGCTAGATTTACTCATAAAAATCATTTACAGTTATCAAATTTTAAAGACTCCACAGCTGCTTTTAAACCTATTTGCAGCTATCTTAATATATGATGAATCCATCTCATTAAAAAGTCATATAAACTCAAGTAGCTTAAAGAAATTTAAGCTAATTAAGTTGTTTTTTTTTAAATAGTATGTGTTATATTTAATATAATATGTATTAAGCTAAGGCAATAATATAAAGGTAGTAAACAAGGCAATAATAATAATTTTTAAAAACGTGACATATTTGCTAAAAAAAAAGACAAAAAAAAACCCTCTACAAGAAAATACGTGTGGATATAAACAAATATATGCAAAGAGGCGACCTGAGATTATTATAATGTCGGGGGGGGGGGGTGAAGTCATAAATACAACAAATTTCTAACAAAAAATAATACTAAAAATGACAACTGGCATTACATTGCTTATGTAGTAAATCAATAACAGATGTTCAAAAAATAAACTTTAAACAATATAAACAAATGAAAGAGATATTTAACCTAACTTTAATTAAGCAAAGCTATAAACAAAGAACATCTCTTCCTGTTAATTGGCTCCATTTTCACCTAAACTTGATAAAGAATTTTTGTCAATATTGGGATCGATACAGATTATAATATCAGACTTGTTAGTTTCTATTGTGAACTTTTACAGTAATAATGATGAACCTGGGTCAATATAAGAAACATAAACCCTTTAGGTGGCCAACATAACTATCAGGGTCCACTAAGTTGGGGGCAGCGCCCCCTACTGCTTCAATCTCCTATCTACAACCTGGAGCTAATAAAGTTTGTTCACTCAAAACTCGAAGAATAAAATTAATTGAACCTGAGAAATATAATATTTCTAAAAACCAAAAATATTTGAAAACTGGTAAAAACTGGTAGGGTTGACATATTTAAAAGCTCTTCAATATGCTGATGTATGCCATTGGTTTGGTAAAATAACATAATTCACTGATTGAAGCCTATTTGATTAAAATACGCAGATCTTAGAGAGAAAAATCTAATCTTGACAGGTTTACGCAGCAATTTAGTAAATATTGCTGATTTCCATCTCTCTCAAATTAAACCAGTAGAACCGCCACAGTAAAAACTGAAATACAAAATAAAGTTTTGATATATTTTTAGGGTGTGAATAAAGGTTAGTTAAACTCAAATAGGGTTTATTAAAATCCCACTCCATTCAAAAATCAGGTTCGTGTTTCTCAGCAGCAGCTCGCCAACCAGGCGGGCAGCCGTCCCTCCGCCTCCGACGGAAGGAGCTGGAGTCCCAGATCACCTTCTAAAGTCTACCACTGGGTGAAGGTTAAACGCATAAATCAGTCATATATGTTTCAGACGTTTTGAGCCAAGAATTTAGGTCAGTTAAACTAAAAAAATTTCATTTCATACCAATCCCACATTTTATTATTATTATTATTTTTTTAAATAACAGTTTTTCATTTCTTGTTCCAACTGCTTGAGTTCTTCAAGGACTAAATAAACAAAATATCTGATTCAGTCATCAAGGTCAAAGTCATTCCAAAAAAGGAAAAAAAAAATCCTCTGGATGTCGTTTCCAAACGTCTTCAAACTTGAAAACGAAGTCCAGCGGATTGTTTTTTTTAACTAATTTGGAGATCTTAAAGCTGCTTTTACTGAGGTTATACCTTCTACACCAGAGTTATTTAATCATTCCCCAGGCGAGGGGTCAGTGAGCCAAAACGTTCAAAGAGCCACACTGGACCAAAAAAACAAAACCAAAAAAAAAAACAGATTTGTCTGGAGCCACAGAAACTTATAAGGCTCATACATGATATACATTCATGATTGAATTTCCATGCAGGGCATCCTGGAGAAAATGACACCATGTGACTAACCTGCCGTACGCTATCTGGAGCTTTGAGTATAACTTTTATTGAAGTATTAATCTATTATGATTTCTTGATCGTTGGAACTGCAGAAAAACAATAAAGAATTCAGATTTTTTGTGTTACTTTTATTTTGAGGATAAAAAAAAAAAAATTCTTAAATGTGCATAATAGGACTGCTGTAATTTCAAACCTCCACATGAAATAAAATGCAGTCCACAGTAAAAATACAGATCCTTTTTCCCCCCCTGATTGGGGCAACAGTGCAAAGAGATTGCTCACTTAAACATCCCTTCTTAAAGACCAAGAAAATCATGTTTTAAAAGTTAAAAACTGCACGTCACGCTGTGAAATTTGCTGTTTTTGAAGATAAAAACACTTCCTAGAATATAAAATAGAGATTTGAAAGTTAATTTAGTCTACTGTTTTTTTTCCCAGAAGTTATTATTTATTCTGATCATGTATCTACATATTATTCACTGTGAGAACACAAAGCTAAGTTCAGACCCTTTAGTGGCAAATCTTTATGGTCCAACAGCAAAGGGAAGAACATCACAAACAATAGTAACAAAATAAAGAATATATAACATAATACATGCAAACACACATTAGATACCTCTTTATAAAAGAACTGTGATAATTTTATTATTTTGATATTTTCTTGCATTTTAAACCTTATCCAGTTGAAATGGATTTAAACATATAGTAGTGCTGCAGGATTAATGCAATCGTAATTTCGATGCTGTGTAATCGCAGGAAAGACTGCGATTTTATAACACTGTGTAGACAGTGTGCGCAGCTACAGGTAAAGCCACATGACTACCCGGCTTTCAGCAGAGCAGAGCAGCAAACATCGCGGCGGTGAAACAAGCTCAGTTGGTAGTGAATTAAAAAAAGCTAATTCTATTATATGGGATCAATTGGCCTGCTGTGTAACACCAGGGCCGGGTCAACCTGCTAAATTACATGATACCATTGAACTAACCACGCCAGTCACTTCTAATCTATCAAGCAGAAACTACTCTGTTTACATTCTATAAACATGGAGCAGCTCTGGTGAGAGGGATTCAGACAGATAAAAGCACATCGACTACGACCTGGCTTCCATTAATGCTTGCTCTCCATTGTTTACTTTCCTGATTACTTCCGCATTGGTGACATCATCAATGCTAACCCAGTATGAAGGCGTCACCAGACGCCCAGCTGCGGGGAGACAGGGGCCACAGAGCTGCCAGGGAGGGGTTAGACTAGGGCTGGGCGATAAACCTGATTTTTACTGTTACCATCGTTCATTACGGTAACCAGGGCAAATTTTCGCATGTCAGTAAATTCGGCATACAAGTCTGTAAATAATTCTGCCATTTTGTCTGTGTGCACTAGTGGCTGGTGTTTCCTTCCCCTTTGAGACTCTGCAGCATGGGGGGAATCAAGTGACTCCACCCATCCAGTCAGAAGCGTAGAAAGGTGGATGAGCCCATCGAAGAAGCGTCTAACAGCTGCAAACCAAATTACATCAGTTAATCCCGTGGAGCTGAGCGAGAGCAGAGATGAAGCTGAGTGCACAGAGAAAAAGTGTAGAGCGCATTGTCAGAGTTGAGCGTGTGGCAGATCGGTTTTAAGTGAAGGTGTGCAGGTTTAAACGATGCACATTTTTCTCACTGCACTCTCAGTTGGGTAGCACCAAAATTACGCCATAGATGTTGAGCAAAAGAACACGAACTGCAAAGTTTGTCTGAAAACTGTTGGAACTACCAGAAATAACACCTACAGCACAGCCACGCTGTTAAACTCAAAGATGTGCAAAAAGCTCCATTACATTTGTGCAAAGACATTTGCAAGAGAGGAAACACTTTTCTCCTGTTCAATGAGACATTGTTGAATGTTTAAACTTGAATGGGTACAAGATAGGGGTGTAAATCACACCCATCATGGCAATTCGATTCAGTATCGATTTCCTGACCCAACGATTTGATTATTTTCAATACTCAAGAATACACCATCTTCTTTTTCCTCCGCCATGTCCGTCTTGCCTACTGTTTACGCAACTGTGTGTGCATGCCGAAAGAGGGTAGTGGCTAAAGGTAGCGAGGTAGGAGGGCAAATTAGGTTTAACGCCACTGCAGCACCGGAGTCAGAATTACGTCCAGAAGCAAGTGGATAAAAACAGAGCAGAGGGGGGAAAAAAAAACAAAACAAAAAAAAAACAAAAAAACAATCGATACTCTTGCAGACGTGTCGATGCTTCGAATTGTTGGCTGTTGGATCGATGCATCGATACAAAACGATTAATATTTACACCCCTAGTATAAGACTTTAATATTTAATTGAAAGCAATATGCAATTTGATTTATTGAATAAGTAAATTAGAAATAGATCAGTTGCATTTCCTGCACTTGCCTTTATTTCTGATAGATCTTATCTTTATCGAGGTAAAGCTGCAGAATTTATCTTTATATTGATTTTAGGTCGTATCGCCTAGCCCTAGCTTAGACGCAGGTTTTTTGCCGGTGGGAGCAAAATTCAGATTCTTAGCGGCCAAAGTCATGTTTGAAAAACACGCTTTAATGCGTCATTCAATGCGCTAACTGGGAAAAAGGCTAAAAAGAGGAGCCCTGTGAGCTACGCCAAGTTACCAAAACTACACACAAAGTCATAAAGGTAGTGGAGCTTAACGAGTGACAAATATTCCAGTGTTTTGGCTATTGGTAACTTCATTATTATTTTCTACAGACCTTTACTTATCCACCGTTTGCTTTATTTGTTCATTTTAACCATCTGTATTGTTAACTTGCCTTATATGATCAAACTGAGCTTGCATCAGCGCTACATAGCACAGCACTTCATGTAGAACTTCTGTAGTGTGTAAATGTAAAATCATCCACGGACTCAATGAAAAACAAACTATATTAGATTTAAATTTCATCCTCAATCCTCATCAATCACACTCCCACTCCCACAGGAGGAGAAGGGAGAGCTTCAGTTGTGTCTTTGAGTCTTCTCTTTCAGAGATAATGCTGTAAGAAATAAGGCTTGAACCCAGAGGGCTGCTGGAACATGCAGGAAGCCTGTGGGCCCCTTTTCCCATAGCTGGAAGAGAAGCTTTTAAATCTCTGCGTTGTCCTCAATATTCAAGCACTCAGACTCCTAACACCATTCCTTTATAAAATCGTAAATGCAAAGTAGTCCACCATCATCACAATCACACATTTTCATCAAATCTAATATATAGATTGTTAAACACATGACTAAACAAACGTTTTTCTATCAAGACCCAGGAAATAAACAATTTTTCAGGTATAATAGCTTTTATTTTACTTTGAAAGTCTTCAAATAAACTTCCTGTCCTGACGGCGCAGGTCTGCAGCTAGACTCTCTTGCTGTAATTTGATTGGTTTACATTGAATCAAAGTATCATGGCTTCGCTATTATCTGCTGGTGTCACTTCCTTTAGGTTCATAGGAGCATTACAGAAACTTGATTTAGTAACCATAACTTTACCAGCATGTTTCAAGCCTTGAGAAAGAGCAGTTCTCAGACTTTACGATCCGGAACGGTTTTAAGAATCTGTTAGTTTATACACCAATGGCAGGACTATTCCTGACAGAAAAAGGATGTGTAAAGAATTTGATGTTTGACCTTACCTGCTTGTGATTTAGAGCTGCTTGGACTGAGGGGCGGTTCTCCATCTGCTGGGCCAGCCGGCGATTGCGGGCACTAGCCAAATGCTGCTGTTGCATCGTGGCTCGAATGCTTACCGCAGTAGGCTGCTTGTTCTTCAGCATGTTAGTGAAGCTTTAGAGGTGGGAGGGAAGAAGAGGGAGGAAATAAAAGATGGGGGTGGGATATAAAGAGCAGGAGGAGGAAGCAGGGTTCCATATCAACTCATTTCTCACATTGTAGATGTGGTCAAAAAGGCAGTCAAGGCTCTTTTCTGCTTCAGTAGGTGCCACTTCTGTTCTCTGTCAATTGTTTGACATCGCTAACTCATTCATGTTTAGGATCAGCGTTTTAAATTCATAGAGGACAGATAAAGTAGAAAGAAAGACATGTGAATCCAAAGAGAGAGGAGAGATAAAGGTTTTAGAAAGTGAGTAATAATTTGCCACTTACAGGCCTCCCGCTGAGTGTCAGGAATCTCACCAAGCTGCAGCAGAGGCCCTGGACATTAGCTTGGACTCAGCCACTTACAGCATGGACCGTGACTTGTACAGTGACCAGCATCGGGCAGGGAAGGTAGAAGGGAAATGGGATACAGAGGTTGATTCGGTCACGTCCGGGCTTGGACTGAGTCTTACGGAGAGTAGAGAGAAAAACAGCGACAGAGAGAAGAGCAGAAGCTTGGTTACCACTGGGCCGAGAGAGAAAAACCTGAACGAAGAGCATAAGAAGCTGCGGCATTTTTCTGCCGTGCTGAGCTTTCCTGCCCATCTTAGAAGATGTATACTTGGTGCATACAGTGCTACAGAAACATGGCGCCCATCGTGGCTGTTTTAGAACAGTGATGTGCTCCAGCACAGGCTTAATAACAGCTTACCCTTTGTCTACATGTATGCACTGCTTACTCATCACATTCAGCCCTGATTGAACTCTTAGGTCCAGGATGGCTTTGCTATTTATTTCAGCCAATGTGTAAGAAAGTACAGATATGCAGAACAGTGTTGTGTGAGCAGTGCACACATTGGGAATGATGAGAACAGCATCCATTTGGGTTCAGTACCCCTCAGCAGCCTCTTGAAGAGATTAAAAATCTTAACAAGCCAAGTCGGTCTTTGCCTCTGATGACTAATTGCTGACAGGGTGCATGGTGCCTCACCGCTCATTGAGAGACACTTTGGTGGTGCTTTTCAGCACTACTTTTTGGGATGCAGCAGCACTCATTTTAAGAGATTTGATTGTAGATTCCTGGGAACAAGAGAATAAAAAAAGCATGTGTTAGTCTTTAAGGAAGATTTACGATAGTCTAGACTAAGAAAGCAGGAATATCACATACTGACAACATAGGTTTATGAATCCAAAGACCCATTTACTAATAAAAAATAATAATAATAATAAATCATTTAAAAACTGTGCTTATACGGCATTGGGTCTCTGGCCTCATTAGTAGGAGTGTGTTTGCAATGAATATAAAGGAACAATAAGCTGTGGGTCAGAAAAAAGATGCAATACTCATGATAAGAAGAGAAGAGTTGTTTTTTTTTGTTTTCTTAAGTGTAAAGGATTTAGTTTCGCCTGGTTTAATTTAATTTAAAAAATCTTTAAGGAACCATTTGCTATCTGATTACCAATCAATTAATTGAAAAAATAATCGACAGATTAATCAATTTGCGAAATAATCGTTAGTTGCAGCCCTATTTACTGGGGGAAAGGATTGCGATACAATGCATGTCACAATAGGATGTCACGATATTACAGTATTTCTATATATGCCGATATTTTACCCAGCTGTCAAAATTAAATGTATAAATAAAAAAGCAATTGTCTAATATGTTCATCAGAATCCATGTTGTTTGGGGTTTGAGTTGGTCCACGTCTTCCACTGTAACTGCATCAAACTACAGATATGGCGCCGCATCGCACAGCCGACACAGCCCCATCTACCAGAATGGCTGTGCAGAGGGAACTATTTTCCCCTCATTGTTTTACATACATTTTCTTTTGATTGATATTCAGAACTGAAAGATCGATATTATATCAGGCAGCCGAAAATTACAATATATTGTCAAATTGATCCCCCCCACCCCTAATATATCCAAACCATTCCTATTTGTTAAGCACTTAGAAACAGCCATAGTGCTGTACAAAAGAAGTAAAAACATAAAACAGTACAGATAAAAAACGAAACGGCTAAAACGTGTAAAATAACGTTCACACAATCAAATAAATAAAAGAGATTTGAAAGTGTGACATCAGGGCTGCAACTAAAGATTATTTTGCAAATAGATAAATCAACTGGTTATTCTTCCAATTAATTGATAATCGGTTAGCCAAAGACTTTTTACAAAATTAAATCAGGATAAACTCAAACATTTACATATATATATATATATTTTTTTTCTTTTTCTTTTTTTTCCTTTCTTCCAATTTTGGTATAATTGCCACCAAACAGAGCTAAAAGCATGTTTTAGAGTCTCTATACTCCAATTAACAGCTGATTACTACATTTGTTGATAATTATTTCATTAATTGATTAATTGTTTTAGTCCTAAATTTATTTATTTATATATATATATATTATATATATATATATATATATATATATATACACATGTGTTGTGCTAAACTATTTTAAAATATCCCAGTGCTATGTCAGACCTTGATATTAATTAAGACTATTTTTGGCATCATCACTGTGCCACATGGGGTGGAAGACAGGTTCTGCAAACAGCCCTCCTTTAGCACCTTTTGCTGTTCACTCAGGAAAAAAACAAATCAGTAACAAAATCAAAAACCAAATGAACAGCATCTTTCCCAAAGCAGTGAAGGGAATCTCATCCATGCAGTCAGAGAGTAAAACTCCCACTGCTGAAAATCAAAGAAACCTTCAGCTAATTTCAGACAAAGCTACACTTTATATAAATACTACTTTTCATGTTTAACCTTTAGCATTCTCCTTCATGCACACTTGTTTTAAATGATGTCTGCATTATATGTGTGCATCTGAGGTCAGTATCAGGAACATTTTGTGGACATGATGAGAATAAAAACCTGCTCCAGTTGCTGCTGCTCAGAGAGACCTGACCATTTAGGGGACAACAACTTTCTCATTTGTTTTCCTTGGTAACAAAAAGCTACATTCAATACCTGCATTTTCCGTCCACCTGTGTTTTCTCTCACTAATATTTTAAATGTGCATTTTTTTACCCCACTTAAAAACATTTTTGATTATCTATATATTTTAGTTTTTTTCAGCTCCTACTGGAAGTTTCACCCAGACTCCAGGCTGCCTCTCTGGGCCTGTTCAGTAGAGTCAACCCGTTAACGACCGAACCGGGACTTTTCTAAAGAAAACTGACTATTTTGTTCTTTAGCAAAAACTTTCTACTATAAATGTTAAATTTATTCTGAACTGGTAGAACAAATTTAGTATCTCTCGGTACTCGTTGGGATTTCAATGCTTCAATGTTTTAAACCATTTTATAAATCGATGAATGAAATTAAAAGTAATGAAATACTATTTTCATTATTTCAGCAATAGCACAGTGTTTAGTTTTATACTTACTGTTGATGCTGGTTCTGTGGAGAAAGGACTGAGATCTGGGGCGGTTAGCTTTAGCAGCTAGCTCCTCCTGCTAGCCCTCCTTTGGGTGTCCTGATTTTCAGTTTGAAAGAAAGAATGAAAGAATCTTTTCCCTTTCAGTTGGCAAAGAAAGTAAAAACGGAATTGAATAACCTGTGAGCTAACGAAAAAAAAAACAACCACCCCTAAATAATCGCGTCCCGTTTGCGTCCAGCCACCTATGTGGCTAAAATGGTGCTGCTTGGAGAGCTCGGGGAGGAAAATGGTGAGAATGTTGTGTTCAATGTCAGCAGTAAATTGGAAACCCCAAAGATTCAAGTCAGTCCCGTTCTCACTTCGGACGTTTTAATCCGCAAAATATTTTGTAACCAGGTTTATGTGTGTTATTGTATTCATTACATTAAAAAACATATGCTTGTTAAAAATGTTACGGAGGTTAAAATGCATTTCATTTGTCAGATATTAAACAATTATTGAGATTTAGGCCAAACAAAATCTATCTATCTATCTATCTATCTATCTATCTATCTATCTATCTATCTATCTATCTATCTATATATATCTATAATATATATATATATATATATATATATATATATATATATATATATATATATAGCATTGCTCATAAAGTGATAATTTAATGTGTGGACGTTGGTTAGGGCTTGACGCCTTGAAGGTATTTAATTTCAGTTCATATGTGAACCTTGAAACTTTAAATCCCGAACTGTCATCGAACGTAGCATTGGCAATCCTCTTAGTAGGGTCACAGTCACGTGGTTTCCTGTCTGTGTTTTTTTGTTTTTTTCCTGCTTCCTCAGCGGAATGGCTGCCGTCGGAGTGGTTGAATCTTCGGCCGGTTCCGATCCTGTAGGAGAAGGACTGTTGGAGCTGTTGACACCAGCGGTCCAGCAGCTGGATGTGCACGTGCACTCGGTCAGGTAAACTAGATCGTGGCTCAGAACCTGAACAGCTGAACTGGCTCATTGTCACGTGATATTCCCATTTTAAAAACAACCCCTCAGCTCTGCAGTGCATCATTAGACCTTTTATTTCCTTACCTAATTATTTTATTTATTTATTTTTTTTTGCAGAGAAAGTCAGGTGGAATTAAGAGAGCATATAGACAACCTGGCCACAGGTAATCTCTTTGTGTTTGTTTTCATTAAAAAAAATATTAATATTTATATTGTTTAGAAAAAATGAAACATTGCTTTGTAATGATTGTATTTTGTGTGTTTTACAGAGTTAATAAGGATAAATGAACACCAGAAGGTTGTATTAGACCTGGATCCTTATGTGAAGAAACTACTTAATGCAAGACGTAGAGTAGTGCTGGTCAACAATATTCTACAAAATGCTCAGGTTAGTATCCAGACTTTGCCTTCGACTTCCTTTAACCTCACCCACACACAACAAAGAGGATCAACAGGGATGATTAAAACCATAATAAACCAATGATTATCAAAACCAGGCACCACAATTGTTACCTGCTCTGCTTTGAACAATTAACTTGAAGGAGCCAATTAACTGACAGCCATGATGGTGAAATTAGGGGTGAATCTGGAGTACCCAAAGAGAACCTGTGCATGGAACCTGCATGAAGAAAGACAATGCTGGGATTAGAACCCTTTACTTATTGCTGAAAGCGGTGTCATTTTTGACAGCCATCTTTGATTTAGTTTTAGTCTTCAGGACGAAGACTATTATTAGTTTTAGTTACATTTAGTCATTACGATATGTGGTACTGTTAATCGGTTTTAGGCAACTATAATCTAAGGTTTTAGTCAGTTTTATGTTGCAAAAACATTTTAACCTTTACACTTTACAATATTAACTAGATTCTTTACCAGACTTACAGCTCTAGCCTAGATACTACAATAGCTGGGTATAGAATGCTGCTGTGCAGTTTATCATTGCTGTTGGGCGGAAAATTGATTTATAGAATTCAAATAAAGTTTTTTTTATGAATTAATGCCCTATTTTATAAAAAAAAAAAAGTCTCACAAAAGCTGTGAAAATAGCAGATCTAGTTCAACACATCATATTGGTTAATATAGCAGAAAGACAAGCTGATAAAATGCACAATAAAGGAATCATTTTAAAAATACAACCTTTCCATCCCGCAAATACTTCCTGATCTACTATAAATTATGCGTTACACATTGAACAACACAATGTTCATTGCTCCAAAAAAGTAAAGAACAAAAACTCTCTTCTTTCAATGAGCTGGTGAAGATTCTCAGTCATCAAGGTCAGAGTCATTCAATAAAATAAAAAAATAAAAAACATGCTCTGGACTCCAAGTTTGAAGATGTTTCTCTTCCCATCCAGGAAGCTTTTTCAATTCAAAATATCAGGAATAGCGTTGAGTTCCAGGCTTTATACAGTAGCTTAGAAAACATGATAATTGTTTGTTCCACCACATTTTAAATTGAAAAAGCACCAAAGTCCAGTGGATTGTTTTTTTTTGTTTTTTTTTTTTACTTTTTTGGAACATCTGCTTTGGCAATTTTTGCTTTATTTCTTCAATTTACCTCTTGATTATTGCTGGTCAGTACGGAAGAGGATTAGGGCCACTGCAAAAAAAAAAAGTTAACTGATTTTTAAATTTTATTTCAGTTTAACATATTTTTCTCAGAATTCTGAGATTAAAGTCAGAATTCTGACTTTTTTCCTATGTTAAACTGAAATAAAATGTAAAAATCTGTGAACTTTTTTTTTCAGTGGCCCTAATCCTCTTCCATAGGTCAGGGGTCAAAGTAGATTTAAATTCACAGGGTTATGATATAATAAAAAATACACAGAGAACCTCCATAATTACCTTGTGATGTCATGGCAATCCAGACCTAAACTGAATGAATATGCTAACTAGGAAACAGAGAAAATGTTTTAATGAAGATTTAGATTATATTTGAATAGATAGAAATGGGAAAAATGAGAGAGAAATATACAAAGATCTATGTTCTTTTTCTCCTGGCTCTTTAGCCAAAAACAGAATGCAATGAAATATTTTATTTGGATATAACGTTTGGTAGAAATTAGAGATAAAATCTTAATAGGGTTTTTTTTACGCTTGGCAGAGAATTATCAGCCACATAGTTTATTAAGCAGCGAGAGCAGGTAGAGCCAGACTGCTGAGAGCGAACCATCAGAGTGGAGCGTGAAGCGCAGACTCTGAGCTAAGCTGCACATTCAAGCATTTCTGCAGCTCAGCTGGAAGATCAGAGTTTGCAGAACCGGATGATTCTGGGTCATTTTCCCCCCTGCTGCTGCTGCCAGGGTCCATCTGTTCTCATGCAGAATGTGCAGCGCTGCGCGGCGGGTGGGCTGTGTTGTCAAACAGGCGCAGCAGCGCGGCTAATGTTGCTTAGCTTGTCTAACAGATTACAGCACAATGCTGCGTTTTAAATCTCTGACCCACCATCCGCTAGTTTTTATTTAGTTTCGTCTCGTTGACGAAAACTCATCTTCTTTTCGTTCTCAAGTATCCATGTTTAGCTCGTCAGTTTTATTGTTCTGTTCAGTTTATCGTCATGAAAAAAAAGGAGCTTCAACGAAATAATCTCATCACTGTTGATAAAAACAACACTGGCTTGAAGGCAACATTGCAGCCCCTGTTGCGCCTCAGGTCTATTACACAGATCTATGCAACTGTGGACCACAGACTGTTTGCACTGAGGTTTTAATAGGTGTTTCCACTAGTTCATCACAAAGGATGATAAAAGTGACAGAGTAAATAAGCGCAAAATGAGTACCGTAAATTCCAGACTATAGAGCGCACCTGATTACAAGCCGCACGCTCTAATTTTAGAAAGGAAATCAATTTTGTAGTTCTATAAGCCGCACCGGATTTTAAGCCGCAGGTTTCCCACGTTGTATTAGATATTTACAAATAAAGATATTACACGTGAGCATTTTTTTAACGTTTGATTTAATCCGTATGATAAAACAAACAAATACAGTAAGTATTATAAATGCTTTTTTTTTTCAAACTACCTGTAACACATTTAGATATACGTATGTGTCGGTAACACGCAAATAACGCTGCATATACCGATACTTTTAATTGAACAACGCACAGAACATTGCAGCCGACCAGGAAAAGTCATTAATCACTTTCTTCTTCCTCCTGCGAACTAAAACCCTCAAAGTCCTCTTCCTCGGTGTCTGAATGGAACAGCTTCAGGATGCTGTCGCTCTCACCTGAGCACTCGCGCTCCTCTTCATCCCGCTGCAGCCCAGCCTTCCCAAACCCGCCGGTGATGCTGGATGTTTTCACACGGCAGCATGAAAAAAACCTGTATTAGCCGCACTGTATTATAGGCCACAGTGTTCAAACAGCAGGAAAAAAGCGGCTTATAGTCTGGAATTTACTGTATGTTACAATAATACTGTGAAACTGAATTTTTTAAATGAACATACTCTGCTCCTTAGTTGCTCCCAAATTACATTTAATGCATTTTGTTGGTTCGCTTTCATTGGCTTACCGTTATTCATAGACGACAGTGGCGTCGGTGCAGGAGTTTGCCCTGCAGTCAGAGGGTTCTTTACGAGCTCCTGCTATTCAGTGTCATTGTGTCCTTGGGCAAGACACTTCACCTGCATTGCCTGCTGATGGTGGTCAGAGGGCCCGGAGGCGCCATTGTACGGCCACCACGCTTCTGTCAGTGAGCCCCAGGGCAGCTGTAGTTTTGCCACCATCAGTGTGCGAGTGTGTGCCTGAATGGGTGAATGAATGTAGGTCAAAGTAAAATTAAAGCTACGTGAGTAGAGACCATTTAACATTTGGTAAATGGCATGTACTTATATAGCGCCTTTTTTCAAGTCAGGTAACTTGACCAAAGCGCTTTACACTACATTCATTCACCAATTCACGCACACACTCACACTTTTATATAGGGATGCACGATATAATCGGCCCCCTATCGGTATCGGCCTTAAA